CCAGATCTGATTCCCAATGATAAAATTCTAATCATCTGTCAGACAACGCATGAAGTTAAAATAACTCTGTCGATCTATTTTCAGAGACTGAAATTCTTGGAATACAAGAACAACAAATTAGTTGTTATGGCAAACATCTTTATGAAGAAACTATATTAGGCAAATTTGTTGCATCCCTGCTGACTAGTGCTTCCCAAACTTTTAACATTTGCGGAATCATTGAAGTAATATTCATGTCCAATGAGGCCTTAACGTAGCCTAATGATCTTCAAACTGTATTTCATGGAACCCCAGGGCAAAGAATCTCTTAGAGGTTCTTTGCCCAGGGCTCTGTGTCAAATTCTAGGGATCTCAGAGTCAAAATAAAAATTCGAAAGGAAATTATAAAGCGCTGACACGAGTGTATTGGTTTTCTTGACTAAAATGTAAACATACATTTAGTTTAAAAGACATGATTATAAAGATTCATTACTTTTGAATACAAAGATACATTTAGTTTTCCGATTACTTTCAAAACTTAACATGTTGTTATCATATGTCAAAGAAAATGACATGCAATTCTTTGCGAAACTGAACAGTTTTCTAATAGAAAATGAATTTAGTTTAAACTTAAACAATTGTGTTAAAAGTTATATAATGGGAAATTTTTAAGTTTAAGAAAATCATAAGAGAATGAGTATTTAAAAAAAAAAAAAAAAAAAAAAAAAACCATTAAATATATCTGGATAAAAAGTCCGTTCGATTACTACGCTAAAACAGAATGTTGAGCTAATGAAGAAAGAGAACAACTTATCAACAAATTCGAAGCTAAATTTAAGCAAAAGCAGCTTCTCAATCTTCACCTGTATATTCACACAGAATACTTAGAAGTTTCTTACATAGCTGTTAACATTTTAACGCCATTCCGAATAACGTATTTAAATGGAAAATTTTTTTTTCAACTTATGCAGCAACAAAAACAAAACATAGAAATAAATTAAGTGCAGAATATGAAATGCGACTGCAGATAACATCAGTACAAGTAGACTTCAACAGTTTGTGTAAAAAAAGAAAGCACAGTCCTGTCACTAAATATTATGCAAGGGTAAGTATCCTTGTATAATATTTAGTGACAAGAGTGTGCTTCGAGCACAAGCTAATGCTTGATATTAATCCTTTGTTGCTCAATGTTCCACTACATGGAACACTGAACTTGAATCCCTTCTGAAACTGTTAAATTTAACCTTAAATGGATAAAAATGCCCTTATAATATACTTCGAAATTCTCTTTTTAAATAGTCGATGGCAGCATATCACAAGGAGACCCAGAATTTTCATTTATGATGTGTTATTAAAATCCAATTATTTTCTAATAATTTTCTATATTTTTTGGTGATACAAAAGAATTTGTTTAAAAAACAATTTCTGTATAATTTTGATGGCTGTACTCTATATTATTTGTTGTATATTTTTTTAATATTTTTAATACAAAAAGCATGCGCAGAATCATTGAATAAAACGGGGTGTTCCATTAGCGGGAACACTGCGCCTTTAGCGATCTCATGCTATTACGTATCACAACATCTGTCTTAGGAGAAAACATCTATTGTATAAGTTTTCTATTTCCATTGTTTTGAGGGAATGAATTCAAACAACAGTATTGAGGGGGTGAGGTGTGGTTTGTGCTATGAAAGTCCTAATATGGACTTTCTTTAAATTTTTGTGAGTAATTTTCAGGCGGGATTTTTATCAGTAGCTCGAGCCATCTTTACTTAGAGCTGCGCGAAATTTTGCTGTCACTTTTTAGTCTCATTTCCGTTTATTTTCAATAATTTGTGTAGATATTTTTTTGTGTATATCTTATAACTTATTTGACTTTATATATTAATTGTAATTAATTTTTTATTATTAATTTTTCATAAATGGCGCGTAGAGGTCTAACTCTTTCCGAAGCGCTAAAAGTGCTTTATGAATTACCCTCTTATTCTGAATCAGAGCATGAAGATAGCAGCGATAGTGAAATATATGCTCCTGAACCACTTGTGTAATCCGATGATGATATGTCGGATGAAACTCATTTATTTGATGAGAAGGTTGATGATCCATCTCACCCAGGCCCCTCTACGCAGCCTCAAGTTTTTAGTTGGAATTCTAAACATATTGTTGCACGGAACAAGAAGCAGCACAAAATAAGTTTTGTGTTCAAAACCTGCAAAGTTGGTTTGTGCTTCTATCAGAAAGGTGTGACATGCTTTGAACAATTTTACAAAGCTAAGAAATTGAAAAATTTATAAATATCTTTGTATAGAGGACTTGTGTATATACATATATTTATTGAAGAATGTTATGTATATCCAGAAAATCATGTATACAGCCATAATACAGTGTTTTTTTCATTACTATAAAAACTCTTACTCCCTTTCGTGCTTCACTGCAATGCTCGCTTAGTCTCACTTTTAAGACAGCTTTTAAGATAGCGCAGTGTTCCACCTAATGGAACAGCCACAGAATTAAAGTGCAATTTATACAAAATTTTACCTGTATACTCCTTTAGGCCTAGATAGACTGCATACAACTTTTTTTGCTGAAATTCCGACTTTAAAGTATAGTGCACCACAAAGTGTTAATGGGTAAATTACATTAATTTTGTGTTTAAAAATTTTTAATAAAAACAGTACTTTATTTAACTTTCTTTACATAAAAAATCTATAACAAATTAATCGACTCATATAATTTAAAATACAGTGCTTTAACTGTCTTTACATAAAATACCTATAACATATTGATTAACTCATATTATTTTAAGATATATTTTTCTATGGTTGGGATGAGGTTTCCCGAAAAAACTTTCATAGTTCTAAGTGTTCCGTGAGTCGACAAAGTCTGAAGACAATTGGCGTAGCCTAATCATCTTATGATGTAAGAGAAAATAAGCGCGTAGTGGTATTTTATGGAATAATAGATTTCTGCGGCGTAAAATTCTGTTGTAGACAATAATAATTAGTACGAAGAGGAAAATCCCAACTTCATTATTCATACAAATTTTTGAACATCTACCGAAATCCACGACATGCAGATTTCATGAATTTTGGTCATGAAAATCTCCTGAAGGTAATTCTGGAATATTTAACTATTAAATATTATTATAGCTTCCATTTAGTGTATAATGTGTTCTGTCAAGCTTCACGATATCTGGATTAAGAAGAGCACTGTAAAAGACCTTAAACCTTTCGGCCCTGCTGGTGTTATTTCCCACCTTCATACGTAGAGGTCTGTTTTATCGGTAGTAGAGATAGTTTTCTGTCGTATGATTTGATCTACAGTAGTTTAGATTGTTGAATGGATTTAGTACAATCCACTATGGCAATAGCGTAAAGTTTAGCGTTTTCGGGGTTCGTTATCGACATGCCATCAAGACGAGGTAGACCGTTATCAAAAAGCGTCCTCAAATCCCAGTCCAGAATTACATCAGAAGTCCCACGTAGTTCCTCTATATGATGTAAGAAATGACAAAATTGGACACTGGCCAATGTGTAAAGATGGGTGTAAACAGCATTGCAAACTGAAAACTTCCAAAGGACGTTCCAGAATCCATTGTGAAATATGCAATGTTCCACTTTGTTTAACAAAAAATAAAAAATTTCGTGTACAATAAATATTAATAATTTTATTATTCTATATTTATATTTTTATGAATTTTTACTTCAAGAACTGCGCTGGCAGTTGTTTACGACATCCTAATTTCTACAACTTGAGTAGGAGCTTGTTATAAGTATATTGCAAGAGAATTTTCCAACACCTATAATATATTTGTAGACTTTTTGTTCATTTTTTCAAAGTAGAGATACTTCAATTAGATCATAAATTTTGCTCTAAATATTAAAAACTTCACAAGGGATCAGCGTTAACACCTCATCAATTCATCAGGTTTCCTTTTTAGATGGGTTTTCTTTCTTTGGCATTCGCTGCTGAACTGGTATTCTGCATCTTATTTTTTACTGCCCTAAGGTTCAAAATATGAATTCATAAAGGACATCTGCTGACCGGTACAAACTGGCTCAAAGTAAAGGTAAATTTTGCAGAATGTGCCTGCAGCACTTCAGATTGCTTGCTTTCTCTGCATGGGCTGCGTTTACAAATATAAATTTATTTTATCGAATTTGTTATGTAAAAAAAATTATTTTTTCAAGAACAGCAAATCTACCCCTGGTAATAAGTTAAACTGACTGCTTTTTCTGAACAAAGAGAAAAGAATGATACTGTTCCCCCTTTTTTCCTTTAGATGTACCAGAAGGGTACCAGATTCAGGTGTACCGGAAAAAGATAGACTTTAAATCCTGAAAAAGGGGAGATTATGGTAATTAGGAAAACTAAACACAATACTTCATGAGGAAAATAAATTTATGCACATTAACAGAAAAAATTAAAATGTAGAAGTTCAACGTAATAATTAGTGGAAACAAGCAAAGATCTTACGGCTGATCACAGCACTACATTTCCGTCGTTTTCACCATGTAACAACAATGCTTTGGTTATTTTAGACTAAAATTTTAGCCTTTTAGGTAATCACAATAATTTATTCAACCAAGAGAACTCTTCTGTGGTACGGTATCGGAAAACTATTTAATTAGAAAAACTGCTTAACTTGGAGTTATGCGCTTCTTTATGTGAAATCGACTTAAAATGTTCGAAGACAGTATCAAAATCTTCTAAAACATTGTTAGTGTAATTCACAAGGGATCAAAATTTTTAGTATAAGAAGCCCAGTGCACATCAACGAATATTTTTGAATTCATGAATTCTTGTTTTTATCTTTTTTTCTTGTACAATCTATTCTTGAGCAAATGCAGCTGTTTGAAGGGGAATGCTGATCGGTGGCGTGACCAGTCAACGCACGTATCAGAAAAAAGATCCAAATATCAGCAGCCGAGGCTACAGTACAAGTGCACTCTTATCTTGGCGGTAGGGTATTTGGCTTCGGTTCAAACCTTACCAACCGAAGAACCCGAAGAACTTCGGTTCAAACCTTACCAACTTCAAGAACACTGAGACAGTGGTGGCGCAATTGCCAACCTCACTAAGAGATCGTGTCACCAGCAAAGCGAGCTGCCGGCTCTCCTGCATTGACGTTTTCAGAGTTTTTCTACTCATGCTGACTGCTATGCTGCAACAAATACTTTAGTTGTGCATGTTTAGTAAAAATGGTTTGAAAATGCATTTATTTCTAGTAAACGTTCCAGACTCATTGGACAGTTTCGTATTTATATAAAGCACACAAAGTTCTTGTATTCTTTAAAACTTATTTTGCCTGTACTTTAAAAAGAAGAAAATACTTTAATTGCTTATATTTTTAAGAATGGTATTCTTTCAGATATCGATAAGCAAGGCCGCCCTGTTTCAGGAAGAGATACAAAATGGATGGTAATTGTAGCCTGCATCATTATTTTTTTCATATGCTTATGGTAAGTATTCAACACGCATTTATTGCTTTTTTAATTCGATGTATGCATGCTAAAACGAACAATATTTCCATTTGTATTCTTTGTAAAATAGTTTTATATTTAGATATTTTGTTATTTAATTTTCGTTTTCGCTGACAAAGTGAACTCCAAACTCACATTTCAGCATATAACACAAAAGCATATAACACAAAAGCACATAACACAACGGCATATAATACCCCGAGAAATAAATGTTAAAGAAACTAATCTGCGTATTGTAATTCTTCACGCACGGAACTTTCCTCATGTCATTAAACTGTTTACTAGCGTTACGCCGACACTTGTTGCTTATTATTAGTTTTTCAACAGTCTTAATTTTCAATTGCGATTAAATTTTGAGAAAATATGAAGATTCTATATCTTCAGGACAAACTTAATGTTTATGTATTTTCAAGTTATTAAAAATACTTTTAATAGTAATAAAACTTTTACTGTGTACTGTACTTACAGAAGATGTTTACACATTTTTAGAATGATTTCGATAAAGAATTATAAAAAAGGATATGCTTTGGGATAAAACTTTCTGGTAACAGCTTTTTATTTCAAAAGAGAAATATTGTCTGCTACTTTTAAATTTATTCTTCTTTGAAAATGTTATATATAAACAAGCTGGGGATTGAAGGATATGTTTTGACGCTTTCCGAAGAGAAACATTCCTGTTCTTTAATTCTTGAAGTGAAACATTCATTGTGAAACGCATGATATTAAAATTTCTATGTGCAAAATAATCAATATTATTAATCGGAAAAGGAAAGACCCTCAGTCATTACTTTTACATCGCAAGAAGACTCCAAACGAATACACCAAAATCAACTCACCGTACTGATCAAGAGAAAGGTTTACGTCTGATATTTGCAGAAGAATTTCTATTTCCTTATTCCAATGACTTTCAAAGAGTGAAATTTCATCAAGACAAAGCAACAAGTCATACTTCGAAAAGTACGACTGCATATCTTGAGAAAATGAAAACTCATGTAGGTATTGCACATATACCTTTTGAATATACTTCTGCTAGGGCCCCAGACATTTCGCCTATGGATTATTTTTCCTCTGATCTCTTGGAAAGAGCTCTTTTCAAGCTACAATGATGGATAAACTCTGGAAAGTAGTAAAAGAGGAATGGAAATCAGTACCTCTTTAAATTTTTCGAGAGAAAAAAAGCTAAGAGTTGGAATATTTGAAAAACATATTGTTTGCATTTTAAACATTAATTAAACGGTAGTGAAGTCGTTCTAAAAATATGTAAACACCCTCTATATATCAGTATATTGCAAAAATCAACAAAATGGTAAATAATAACAGGAATAAGTTTCTAAAAGTACGTTTGTAATTATTTTTCACTGTAGATATAGAATCTTTATAATTTCTCAAATGCCAAAGTCTGAATGTGTAAAAAAAAAAAAAAAAAAAAAAAAAAAAAAAAAACCTCAGCAGAGCGATAAAAAAGTAAAATCTGAATTTCAAATTTTAACGGTCGCCTAAAAGAGTTTGTTAAGGTTTTTTACGCTCTTGCTGAGTTCGCAATCTACCAGTCTGCTCTTATACTCATTCCTATTAACTCATTTTTTTTTTCTTCTTCTTCATTTTTTTTTTTTTTTTGTGTGTGTGTGTGTGTGTGTGTGTGCGTGTGTGTCTTTCTAGATTGGTTGTCAAGCATAATTTTCTTCGCACTAACGCCATACATATCTCGACAGCAAAACTGCAAAAGTTTTATAAGCTACATAGTAGTATATGTTTAGAACTATCTTATATCGATGGCTTGAAACGCCGTTTCAGTGAAAACATAAGTTAAGTGAATTCTCCCTAAAATCTTCCCCGCGTTTTCAGATGATTTCTGTCCTTTGTACAACTGGTTCCTCTTAAGGAAGTAATGTTCAAGTAATGTTTCGTCACTATTGATGTTTATTTATGTTAAAAATACTGCTCACTTTTACAATTTACCGTCTTTGGAAGGTGTTCTTCGTTATAGAGTTATTCGCTGTATTTTGCACTGTTCGCCTACAGATAACTATTGGGATCAGGAGCACCGCACGCACAGTTAGAAACCATTGCTTCCTTGCATGGATATATATTAAAATTTTTTTATCAAACTTATTTGTTATATTTTCTGTCAGGTCTTACGTTTACGCAAGGAATGAATAAGTCGAATATTTCAAAATTTGACTTATTAGTTCAAGAGAAAACCATATTCATTGCTTAACAAATTGTAATTTTTGAAGAAGTAATGAACAGTTATTCTTGGTAAATTTGCATTTAATATCTTAAAATGCGCTTTGTATTTTTAGGCTCATCATTCTTCTTCTTTTGTGGCGTATGGGTGTTACTTTTCGATGGCGAACTAAACAACTTGATTCTCCTGAGGTGAGTTTATAACATCTTATTCGCTTTGCTATCATTCAAGTGACTCGATCTTAAGAGTAAGCTTAGCGACTTCTCGCACGGACGTGGAGAATAACAGCACAGACTAAAAGTGTGTAAATAGTCCTTTTATTCCCAAACTCTTTAACAAAATGGCATGTACTTTGTGCTCGCAATAACACCGACTATACTTGCGGTGGGAATTTAAGGATAATTTAACAATAAATTCCCCAAAAAGGTAAATAGTAGCGCTAGACTACGCTATTTACTTAACTCTAACAGGCTGACCCAGCAACCTACACCGGCGATAGACTTCAAGAACGACCAGATTGCGCAGCCGCAACTAGCTGGAGGACAAAATAGCAAACATGCGCTATACTAGCGAAATTACGCTCTGTCTAACCTTTTCGTTTTCATCTGTTTAAATACTCTCTTTACTTAACTTAATTTGCATCCTGTCGAGGAAATGCGAGGAGGTAAAGGAAGTTCAGAAAAGATACCAAAATTAAAATAATTGGTTATTTAAACTAAGAGAAACCCTACAAATCATACTTTCAAACTCTGACAAAATTATTGCTCATTCTTTCTCTGAGGTTATTAGATCGTTTCAATTAACTCGGTAATGTATGATTATAGCTGTTTTATTTCTCAAGGAACTTGCATTCCTGAGTTTATTAAAATTACTGGAGAAAACTGGTTTAATATGTTATGTGTCCCCATTGCAAAGAAAATAATTTAAATCTGTTCCTTAGTAGAAAAAATCTGATGTGGACGCCACATGACTTCCTTGTACGACTGTTAAATTATGCATATATTTTGCTGCACTTCATTTAAACTTAACACATTTAAACTTATTATTCTAAATTAATTAACCGATTTCTCGAGGAAAGTTGAAAACGACATGAAAAATTGCAAATTTTGAAATTAAATATCCTGGTCCACTCGTACGGGAGTCAAATTTCCTATATTTTTACTTTTTCATAACGAGCATAAAACTTTTCCAAATATAAGAATAGGAGACGTAGCCAAAACATGAATATTTCCGTCAATTAAAACAGCTGTATGACTACGTCCAACCACTGCGAAAAAAGTCCGCTTACAGAGGTTGGATATATATACTTTTTGGTACAGGCTAAATGGCTTTTTGGTACAGGATTGTAACAAAAAAGGGATTTGCACGACTAAATTTTATAACAGTCTCTTACAAAATTTCAACGTTCTACGGCTAATCATTTTTGAATTGTGCGAGATACGTACGTACAGATGTCAGGAAAAAAATCCATTTTAAATTCTTTTTACAATCCGTTTAGGGGGGGGAGAGTCCTTTATTCTGTCCGTACGTATGTACGTCACTCAAAAAAGTGGTTAAAATGGATATTTCCGTTGAAATATGATATTCGAAATTTATCGCGATTACATTATTTCCTTTACTTCGTACCGGGAAGTAAAAATCGGTTAAAATTTTTTTATAAAATAAGATTTTATTTAAAAGCCATAAAATGCATTTAATGAACTAAAATTGAAATAAAATAGAAAATAATAATGAATTAAAATAGCAAATTAATTTGTTATATATACTGCTAGCCATAAAATTTGCAGCACCACGAAGGAAGGCAAATACAAAAAATATATTTGTTGTACGTAAACAATATGGCATGAAGACAAAATGATTCAATTTGTAAGCAGTTTGGTGGTTTACAGAGGTGCGAAATTAGTAGAAACAGTTTCCACCCCTTTCAGCTAAAAGGGCCCTCGCCCGGTTAGGATGGAGTCGAACGGAGCTTGGATGACAGAAATGGGCAACTCATTCCATGCTGCTTCAAGTCTATGCCCTACTCCATCAGCCGCATTAGCTGAAGAGGGATGGCGGGCCTTCTCTCAGCAACCCATGATCTCATGTTTTCAACGGGTGACAGATCTGGAGACCGTGTAGGCCAGTGCAACAATTGAATACCCTGTGTATCGAGGAAGGTTAGAACACGACATACAACATGTGATCTTGCATTATCTTGTTGGAAGAGGGCGTTTGGCAGGCCTTGAATATAGGGCACAACCGCTGGACGTAAGATGTCAGAAATGTACCGATCTGCGTTCAAATTACGGTCGATCCGAACTAGAGATGTGCGTGTTGTGTACCCATGGCTGCCCAAACCATCGCAGCAGGTGCAGGGCCCATACGCCGAGATCGAATGCAAGGAGGCGATGTGCGGTCTCCTCAGAGCTTCAACAAGAAGCTTGAATTAGAAGTTTATTCTCTAAACTTTTCTAGACACATATACGGCCACCATAATATTGCAGGCAGAACCAAGACTCATCTGAAAGGAAGACATTGTGCCTCTCCTGTATCTAACTTTGTCGTTCGGCGCACCAGAGTCGCCGTCTCTCTGTATGCTGCATTGTCAAGGGAAGTCGAAGTAATGTTCGCCGTGCTGATAATACATGCTGCTGGAAACGTCGACGCACCGTACGAGCACTGGGCGTACTGCAAACATGCCCATTTCCTGATTAATGGTTCGTGATATGGTTGTTCGGATTTGCACGACTGACCTCACAATATGTCTGTTCTCTCGGACGTTAGTCATGGGAGGGTGATGAGACACTGCATGCCGTTTAGTATGACCCTCACGAATCCATTGACTCCATATTCGCAGTGGTTGGATGTCGACCAGTGCGACGGGCGATATCACGGAACGATAATGCACACTCTCGATAGCAACGATCCTTCCTTTATCGAATTCCGACACTGGTTGGTAAGCATTTCTTCGTATTATTCGAGGCATGACACAATATTCTGAGAAAAATAAAACCTCACGAAACTCTTTCTGAATGAAAAATCCACTACACAGCTTTTCTTTTATGCAGTGCTTTATAAGGTATTTCTCCCACTTTCCTAGTGTGCCTTCGTGGTGTAGTGGTTCTGCACGCTCGGCCAGTATTCCAAAGGTCCGTGGTTTGATTTCCGGCGAAGGCGATTGCTCGTTTTTCATTTCTACGGCCTCCAAAAACATCCTAATGTCTCTACAGCTTCAGATGTCATTTCTCCCTCCTGCGTCGTCTGAAATTCTAATCATTTGCATAGCTCAACCTTTTCTTTCTTTTGACGTTCGTCAGATCATTCCTTCTTGTGTGTTGCAATTTTAATGGACAGCAGTGTATTTAATGGGAAAAAGAAATTAAATAACTCTATTCGCAAAATTAATACATACTTTTATACCACGAATAATAAAAGAATTGGACGCCCTTGATATATTTTTAAAGATAATGGTTTATGTTTTTGACCATACAATCCAATCAATAGATTTCATTACCCAGTTGCCACTCTTATGAACGAATTTTGTTATAATTAATGTCTTGTTCCTATTAAACTGTATGATAAATTATTTTTGTCCATCTAGTTAATTAATTAATTTGTGAATTTTAAATAAGAGCTTATTTTATAAAAACTTTTTTGCCTTACTTTATTTTCATCCTTTTAACCTCAACGATACGTTGTCAATCAAACCACCCAGTTGAAAAATCGTTTAACAACAATAAAAAAAGTCACACTTTTATGTCCTGCAATTATTTCACTTCAGCAATAGAGAAAAATCCAGCAATTTTCAAAAATTCGCCAAAGAAATCAAAAATTACTTAAAAAGTTTCACACAAATTTTATTTAAGACTTTATTTTTAATTTTTCCTATCCGATGGTGTGTAAATCGTTAAATTATATTATTTTAATTTGTTTAGTAAACAAGGATAAGTGCGAAAAATCGTTTCAACATTCATTCATTAAAAAAAATTCTAAATCAAATTCTAAAAAAAAAATTGCTTCACCGTATTGTAATTTTATCCACAATCAGTGTTTACAAAATTTGTGTTCGATAACTTCTAAGGACATAGTTGAAAATTGACAATCTGGCATTTAATCCAACCATAAGATGCGCAGACTTTGTCAGATATATCATTTGATCCAAGTGAATACATCTTTCATAGCAAGTGACTAGGCATCCTATCACTTAATTCCAGTCCAGTAATTAAATAATTTATTCTATTATTCTCACTTTATTTGAAAGTATTCAAAACTCTTTCTTTAGCAGCTGCGTATTTTTTTTGCTTAGAACCATCTTTAATAATATGCCATACATTTTCTATGCATCGAGGTTCCAAATGGGCGATTAAATAGTGGATTTCGTGTTCTCTACCTTAACACTGGAAATTTGGAACGGGGCTTCTACCTAAATAAAACATATTTCAGGCTAATCCACCCAAAAGTGTGGAATTTTGATTGTAACGGAACTTGCTTATGCAACGTTTGCTATTTCATCAATACCGTCCGGCATGCTAATTGTGTATCCAAAACCACCCAAGTAGTTGCGTGTATGTATCTGCTTAGTCAGAACTCAAGATAAAATAATTTTAAATAGTTACTTTATAACAAATTCATTCTCTAAACTTTAGTACGCACACAATCGGCAATACAAAGCATCATTTTTCTTCAGGTCCATTAGTCATTCTCAGACAGACAGGTTGACAGCTATAGTAGACAAATGGCTTGTTTTGCACCCGATAAGTCTTTCTGCCCGGAGGAAAAAATCATAAATAAATCCCACCAGGTATCATTCATAGCCAGATAATGGCTTACTGGAGCATATTACAGTATTTGCTCTTAGTATCATAATTAAAATTGATAAAACGGGTACAACTGCTAAGAGTAAAATTCCTAAGAGAGATATTGAATGCTATGCCAAAACATATTTAATAGAAAATTTGAATTGGATATTGATAATTACTGGCTTTACCCCCGAAGTGTTTTTATGGCTCGAGACATCATCAAGCAAATGCAGGCTTTAAAGACAAGTTTCACTACATTCTGACACAAAAAGAAAAAAGTTCTACTACCCACACTTTAAAAATTAACTGATAGATCCAAGATTTTTCGTTCAGTCTCCATTTGATAAGCAAACCCGATTTTAAAATACTTTGTAATCTCTTGGGGGGTTTTTAAGCAACGCTGAAGCATCAGATCCAGGGCCGGTGCCAGAACATCTGCAGCTGATGTGGCCGCAACGGGCGACAGAGTTAAGTGCTCCAAAATCTTCTGAATGTAGGAAGAAGTAAGATCGCCGGCCCTGTCTGCATCTGCCCATTGGTCATAAACTTTAAGCAGTGCTGAATAATCACATAGTATGTCTACCTCTGGAAAAAACTCCAAGGATTAAAATGATGAATAATCAAAGATGAATATATTTACGTGTGTCCTTAAACATGGCATTTAAACAATGTTGTGCTGTCTTAGAGCTCACAGTAGTATTATATTAGACTAGTATAACCTTAAATATATGTCTTAGATAATATGACTTTCCCAGTTTGGTACCAAGAACCACTATTTGGTATATTCCATTCACTTTTTGTTCTTTAGCTTAATGTTTTTTACCCTTAAACAATAAATTTACGCTATGTTTTCACCTCAATTATTGTATCTTTATGTAATTTTGATGCAAGACTAGGGGGGTGAACTCGAGTCCTCTTTGCCTATTACCAATCTTCTTAGGCAACTTTTGTTTCGATAGACGAAAAAGTGCTTCCTAACTGTTTGTAATTAATAAAACGTTTCGCTTAAAAACTATTAGATGGGCTTAAATTATCACTAGAATTTAAATCCTGCTTCTTTAGTTAACCTACATAAAGATATCTTAAAACATTCTGGAAATGGGCTCTGATTCTTTATTTTTGGAAAATACACGTAACTATCGATCAGAAAAACTGGTTTTTGATTTTTGTTCAACAAATCAGTACTCTGCTGGAACGTATCAGATAAATATGCATATTTTCAAAGGCTTAAGAAATATCTAAAACTTTCTTCTTTGCTGCAGGCAGAGATTGGAGAAATAACAGATCAGCCACCCCCGAATGTATATGAAAGTGATGAAGAGCCTATTTATGAGGAAATCAGGGAGGAAGATATGTATGAAGAACCAAGAAGACCATCTGAAAAACCTATGTACGTGGAACTGATTCCTGAGGAAAACTACTATGAAGAAATTGACGAGGTAGCTATGTATTCAGTTTGCCGCAACAGTCAAAACTCTTCAACAATAAATGAATATGTTGTCTGAAAATTTAGATATAATTACCATTTAAAAACTGCTAATTAGTAAATTTGGTGGCAACAGCGATGATTTTATTTTACGCTGAAGTGCCCTTAAAATCTACCGTTATATGAGCACATATTCGCAACTTTGAGGAAATAAAGCGTTTTAAAATAAATAATAAAGCGTTACATATTGTTATAAATTTATATTAATATTTGGGTTTATTTGATTGCATTTTGGCTTTAATGTCTTCTTACAGTGTTATGTATTCTTTTTACACATTTATTTGTTGCGTTTTATGAAAGAAATTAATGTGTATTTTTATTTAATCAAGTTTTGAGCAACTTTTTTGTGTTTTTAAGTATTTATTTTTAGTATTATGTTGTAGATCTATTTATTTGGAATGGACTGTTCGAATCAGTTCGAATCGAAGAAATAGCTTAGTTAGAATCGAAGCTATGGGCAGAAATATTCCTGATGGTTTTTGGAGATATTTGGGATTTTTTTGCCAACATGGCAGTATTCTGGATTCTTTCAGAAAACGCATTTTCAGAGTCCTTAGGAACGGTTTCTGTTGAATTTTCCAGGAGTACTGGTGTTAGAAAGTCCTCCACGAAGGCATCCCTCCCTTAAGGCAGATAGCCCTCGAGTGCTTTGCCGTAATCTAATAAACCAAACTAAACCAGAAGTACCCGGGGAATCCTACAAATACAACTGCGTTGGGAGCGGTAGTCACCCAAATGAATAATTTATTTTCCAGTTGTACGATTGTACTGTCGTTCTCCCCAGTCATTACTTGCTTAGACTTATACTCTGTGAGTAAATTCTGATGATCTGGGGCATTTCCCCCTTGTTAATAAGCATTTTCTTAATCTCTGCTGTTCCCGTTGAGCTGTTTATAACTGTTTACTTTAGCAATATCTGTTATTTATTTCAATTAGTGTCAATTTCTCCTCTTCATCGGGCATAGTTAATAAAAAGATCCTAATGAAGCTATTGCGCACAACAATATTATTACGAAATGCCTAGCTGCAGTAAGAGAGTTTTCCCGCAAAGCGGAGTTAAATTTGCCATGAAAAATGGCAGGAGAAGCCAGATTTGCCCCGAAATCGCCCATTTAGCGGCATTTGGCGATAAAAGTGGCGATAAACGGAGAGAGAACATTTTAGAACTCTTGGCGGTTTTTCTTGGGAATGTTCTCGAAGGAAGGATAAAGCTATATAATCCCTACCTGTACATGGAGCAACAGTATGTTGAGTTCAGAAGCAGAGAGTATGTTGAGTTCAGCAGTAGTGTTTTGAGTCACAGATTAGCTTGTGAGCGATTCGACCAAGTCCGGAGCTGTAGTTTAGTGCTTTGCCGGGAAACTGTCTTCACCGTCGTAGCCTGAAGGCTGGGTTTGTTGATTATTTCAGCGTGTTTATCGTAGTTGTTCGACGACTGTAAACGTGTCTTTGGAATTCTCCTGTGTAATGCTGGCGAATAAATTGTGTTTTGATTCTTCATCAAGTGTTATCGTCAATTACTCCAAATCCACGAACCCACAATATTTTCTATACTTAACCCTCTCGCTGCGCATCCCGCGATTTCCACGGGCGACGTAGAAGTAGCAAAATTTGCGCAACCCGCGATTATCGCGGGGATGCGTTTTTGTCGCCTATTTAAGTGTGCAACCCGCTCTTTCCCCGTTTATGGTTTCATTTCGGCTTTTCTGTAATGTTTAATTGTTTATTTAGATGTCGACTAACAGATGGCGTTAGTTGTCCACGTTTCTGCGAAATATAAAAAGAATTTTTTTTAGCATTTTGCGCGCGCTTTTCAGAGCTCAAAGATGTCTGGCAGGAAGCGTTTCGCGAGTGATATGACCTATGTTCCTGACGATATTTCCGACACTGACAGTAGTTCTGACTCTGATTCCGAGTATATTGATGATATTTATAGAGGAACTGATGAAAATTTCTCGGATTCCTCTGTGGATAGTGATGAATCTGAAAATTCATTTTCTATTCAAAACGCCCGACAGTGGTGCAAAATTGATATGCAAAATATTCCACCAGCTCCTGCTTCATTTCCTTTTATTGGCAATCCCGGACCAAATTTCACTATGGCAGATGATGCAACTGTTTTGGATTATTTTGAACTTTTTTTTGACGATGTTATGTTGCAAATAATAGTAAAAGAGACCAACAGATACGCTCAGCAGTATATGAATAAGGCAGTTCCTAAAGAAAGATCAAGGTGGAAAAATTGGACAGATACGGATGAGAAAGAACTTAGATTATTCTTTTCCGTTTTGTTTCTCCAAGGAATTGTAAAAAAGCCTAAACAAGAATATTATTGGTCCAAACGTCACATATTGCAAACACCTATTTTTCAACAAGTAATTCAGAAAGATAGATTTATTTTGCTGATGAAGTTCCTTCATTTTACAAATAACGAAGAGTTTGATAAGGATAATCATCCATGGCCAAAATTAAATAAAATTTATGACATCATGGAGCATCTTCGAAACAAATTTCGAAATCTTTATATACCAGATAAAAATCTCAGCATAGACGAGAGTTTGATGCGCTTCAAAGGCAGACTGAGCTAGAAAATGTTCATCGCGAAAAAAAAGAGCAAGATTTGGCCTTAAGTTTTTTGTGGTCTGCGAAATGGGAACTGGATATATTGCAGACTTTCTCATATACACAGGTAATGGAACTGTGTATAACCCGAAATTTGCAAATTATCCAGTTTCCACTAAAATTGTTCTGCACCTGATGGACAGATTCCTGGGCCAAGGTTACTGTGTAACCATGGACAATTACTACATGTCTCCAAAGTTAGCAGACATTTTAATTTCAGAAAGAACAGACTTATATGGAACTGTAAATAAGATGAGGGAAAGACCTTCCTCCAAATTTTGCAAAAGAAAAAATCCCTAAAGGTGACGTCCTTGCTTACCAAAGGGGTAAAGTTATGGCTCTGAAGTGGCAAGATAAAAAAAGTGTTTTTCTTATAAGTACAGTTCATAATGCAAGTTCCCGTTTGGTGAAATGCAAATCAAAGAAAACTGTACTCAAACCAATTGTTGTTTGTGATTACAACAACACGATGGGTGGGGTTGATTTATGTGACCAAGAAATGTCATATTACCCCACCCTCAGAAAACAACAAGGGAAATATTATATAAAAATTTTCCGACAATTCATGGACCAATCACTGTGGAATGCTTATATCCTTTATAAAAAGGATAACCCATTACAAAATATAACGCTTCTAGATTTCCGTTTGCAAATTATTGAACTAAGCATTCAGAAGTATTCAGATAGAAATTCCAGTGTTCACTCTAGCAGATGTAGTTCAACTCTCAATCCCATGAGGCTAACTGCTCGACATTTTGCTAGCCATATACCCCCAAATCCCATCAAGAAAGAGCCTCGTAGACAGTGTGCTGTCTGTTGTTTAAAAAAAACTGAAAGCGGAAAAAAAATTCGAAAAGAAACGCGAATTTGGTGCAAAGATTGCGAGGTCGGACTTTGCCTCGAGCCTTGTTTCGAAATTTATCATACAAAACTTCATTTCTAATAAATGTTTTGTAAGTATTTTGCATATTTTCATTAGTATATACTTTTTACCTTTGTATTTTATAAAATAAATCATAATTTAACCAAAATTGATTTTCAAAATTTTGCTTTTTTATCTTTATTCTTCAATTTCAATATTCTGACAACTTTTTTCTATGATCTAATTCTATATTGAAAAAAAAAAACTCTTTTACAAAAAATTTTTGTATATTTTAAGTCTAAAATATATGTAGATTTGAAATATGTAATAAAAAATACGCAATTTTTGAACCTATTTTGATAAAAAAAAATACGCAGCGAGAGGGTTAAATGAATTAAAACATTGACATGTGATACGCTGGGTTTTGCTGCATTTGCGCATAAGTATGTTAATAAGCTTGTTAATAGCAACTCTATTTAAGCATAAAATATAAATAAAAAAACTTGTACTAATTAAGGAATTCTTTTTTAATGGAAAGAGAGAAAATATTTATCCCTATAGGAAACATTAATCTTAAAACACTCTTCCTCATAATATTTTCTTAGAAAATTTTCTTCGAAAATATTCAATACGTAAAGAGTGGCGTAGAAAAAAATCATTTTTAAATAGCTAAGTCGAAATTACATATGCTGTTATTAAAAGGTGAAATAAAATTTTCAGCTTCAGATATTGAATTTAAAAAATTGTTTCCATTAATTTAGTAAAATACTTCCGATTACAAGTGTTCACGTTTATTAGAGTTTACGTTACGAGATGCCGTTTTCGTCTTCCACAGAAGTTACGCTCGTCAGTTTAAGAAATATCATCGTCGTAATGTTTCTTAGCTGTAAAGGAATGAAATTTTTCTTTTGAGTTAGAAAGCTTTCATAAGTTCTGTGAACAAATTCTATTCAGTATGTCGAAATAAAATAGATGGAAAAGAATTATTCGTAACAATCCTGCTTCTGGTAACCGCACAATTAATTCTTTTCACTGTCTCTGATTCAAATTGAAATAACACTACATTTTCCTCGAAATACTAACTTAGTTCCATGCTTAAATCTTTTGACAGAAAGAAGTCGGATAATGCTATTGTTTTGCTATGAATTCTAAAAGAGGCCTGAGCCATGGAGCTTTTATTACGGCTGTTTCATTTCCGGTGGGAGGTTCGGTTTTGCTTCATTCATTACTTTAATATTCTTATTCAGGATATTTCTTAACTTAGTGACGGTTTTCAGATACATCATGTCCGCAGATATTCTTTATGAGGCCTTTATTTTCGCAACCATTAGTCGTAGACATATATTCATCCCATTACAAAAATATTTCAAACGACGCAGATATTCATGTTTGGGCATTTCTAAAGTTGAAAAATCAATTTTGTAAACATTATAAAATCTAACTTTTTATACCTTCCTCCGGTCCCTATACTTATATTTAAAAAAATTTTGTTCTTGTTATAAAAAATACAATACAAAAGGTTTGAGATATTTAATATGAAAATTTGAGATATTTGGTGTCATTTTCGACATATCTGAAAGGGTCGATTGTAAAAATCTTAAAATAATTCGAGGTCAGTTTTTCTCTTAAATATGATCCATTGATAGACTTTTATAATTTATTAATCAGTAACATGTATAATTAATTTATAATTATTTTTGTTCCAGATTAATATAATATAATATTAATAATTTATAGTTTTATTACATACTATCTTGAATAGATTTTCAGGTAAGTTATTTACGAATTTTCAAACACTAAAAGTACTTTATTAAATAATATCTCACCTGTTTTATTACTTTAAAAACATAATTCAGTAATCATACAAAAAATATACTAAAATAGACATATTTTTTTTAAAACTGTGAATATAATCTTATGACCCAATACCGAAGCTCGTCAGTGTTTCTTAGAACACGAATTCTATAAGTTTTAGTGAATAAGACGTCACTTTCGGAGGGATGTAATGACGATATTCTGCATAGAAATGCTTATTCCGTAATTTGTTATTAACATCGGAAACCTTTCGTTAGATTCAAGTTTTATGTCTAGTTATGTACGAAGGCAAACACTTAGCTCTTCATTTTCTGTACAGCACCTACATAGGATCTCTAACTTTAAATTTAATCACTGGGGTCACTTTTGGTCATAAGGGGAGTCACATTTTATGTATTTTATTTTTTACAGTGTGTGTAAAATACGTGTGTTTATTATTGTTGCTACATTTGGCTGAATGTTTGCAGCTATATGAAGGTATTCCTTTTCTTAGGTAAATAGCCATCGAGTTCTTTACCATATTCAAATAACTTAATTTAAACCTAACCCAAAGCTTATCTTCTACGATGGCACCTGCCTTATCCAGTTCATGAATTCTGTAAAATACGTAAGGCAATTCCGTTACGTACTTTGCCAGAATTAATGTTTCAACCAACTAATCACTTACTAACATTGAATTGGCGCTGCCTCAATTAAAATCGAACACAGATTTTATATTCCGTAAGCAACAAAAGAAATATATCTGGAAATTTGTTAATAAAGAGCCATCATTTCAAAGGTTCGTTACAATGATATATCTTCAGTAAACATTATTTTCGGTATAAATACCATCATCACTCCTCCCTTTCTTGCAGAATGTTTGTAGAGTCGATATAGAAATTTTTTGAAGCCAAGAAATGAAGCTGAAAAATTCGCTCCGAAAAATTCCTCCCGCGATTGGAACTCCGCACCGTCCGATTGCTAGCCGGACGTGCTTTTACACCATAAGGGCACGCGGTAAGGTGGGAGAAGAACCTTACATGTTTTTGCTCCTGAAGAAAAGGCAACTGTATCTGATCGCTCTCAAAATTCATATTCTACGAAGGCATCCCTTCCTTTAGGCAGATAGTCTTCGAATGCTTCGCCATAATCAAATAAACCGAATCAAACCAAAATCGAACAGAGTTTTATTTAAAATCTATGGTAAAATAAGCTTGTTGTTTTGCCTAATTTTATATTGTGTGCTCTTTCTATTTAATTCCATGTATGTTTTTAAATAAAGGCAGAAATTGATAGTGACCTTAATTTTTGATGTAATACATAAAAACTTCAACTGTTTATAGTCACATAAATACTAAAAGTAATAGCTAATACATAAGCACAGTTAATTCTTTAACTTGAAAACATAAACACAGTTAACCGTTTAACTTGAATACCTAAACACAATTAACGTTTAACTTGAATACATAAACACAGTTAACCGTTTAACTTGAATACCTAAACACAGTTTAACTTGAATACATTGTAGAGTCATTAGGTTAATTGGAAGCAGAAAAGATGAAAAATATGCAACCGCCTTCGCCAGGAATCGAACCACGGACCTCTGGAAATGGCCCAGCGTGCTACCGTTACATCACGAAGGCACGCTAGGGAAGTGGGAGAAATACCTTATAACATAAACACAGTTAACTGTTTTGCAGTTAATTATTCTTTGCTATGTAATTAATCTGTTTTTGAAATTTTTGTAAAAGCTTATAAATTATTTAAGTAACTATTTTTAATGTTTCTCAATAGGTGGTAGAGTTTTCTCAATCGACCATTATCATTGCAAATGTTTCTTGAAAAGATATTTTTAATCAGAAATTAGAGTTCAATTAATTGATTTGTGTTGTGACTTATCTCACTGATCTGACAATAACATCAGAACAACCCTACGAAATTCATCGAGGCAAGGAGAGCAAGGTTTCGCCTGTCCTTGGCAAGAGCCTTTAGCACAATACAGGTGACAGTACATCTTCGCTCAGTTCCGTCCCAAATTTTGATGAAGAGCACCCCGGGGTAATGGGTCCGAGGATCTCCCACCTTCTTTCCCTATCATTAACCTCTCGAGAGGACTTTCGGCTCCCCATATATTTAGAGTGGCCCCATGCAGCAAAGACACTATACATTTAAAAACATCCATGCCGTCTCCGGGACTCGAAACCGGACCCTTCGGTATCGCAGTAAGCTCCTCTAACCACTATAACGTCCGGGCGACTATTAATTATTTTAATATCACTTACAGATTTTTTTCTTTTGAATTCGTAATCAGTTGAATCAGTAATAAATATCATTTATCTTTATGAAGTTTCTAATGCATACAACATAAACTTCAAGCCAAAAAGCTGCTTGACAAAAGAATAATGTTTAAGTTATCAAATATTATTTATATGATTTCCAGAAAGAAATATGCTTCTTAATGCATATCTTTTTAAATTTCTTTAAACAGGAGGACTACGAAATACCATTACCTGCCAAAAACAAGAAATCTTCAAGTGGACATTACGAATCTCCAATATACGATGAGCCGAATAATGACTACGAAGAAGTAAACAACAAGACTTCAGTACACGATAGCGAAACTGATGTCTCTGCAAGAAAATCAAAAGAAATTTTTGCTAATACAATGACTTATTCCAAAAAGAATATGATCTATCAGAAATCTGGTATGGGATCTCAGCCTTCCATGGATCCAATAAAGAGCCAATACAGATCTGACTCGGAGGTACTTATTGATATTATTGAAAGGGCTTCAAGAGGAGAGTTTGATTCTTCCCAGCCTGGTAGTCTTCCCCACGATCTTGGAGACAAAGACATCGAAAAATTGATTTGTAAAATGGAATCGCAATCTGAGTACGGTACGGCAGAAAAACGAGCAGAAGAATACGTTCAGGAAACTCCGATACCATCTTCAAATGTACATCCGAAATCTATTCAAAGAAAAGTAAAATCAGATGCATATGTAAACCAGTTAACCAAGCATCGGATGAAGCAATGGAGCGACGATTTCATCAAGTCTCCCAGCGAAGGTAAAAATAATCTATACTTGTGTTTATTTTATTAGTCTACTGATATATACAGTTTGTTGATCTTTTTTCAGAAATAATTTAGGCACAACATTAAATTATTTGTATTGGACAAATAGTTTATAGAGTTTAGCTTTCTTTGGGGTGTAAACTAATTGCAAAATCCTAACATACGCACTGCGAATTATCGCCGTGTCTGAAGTAACTAGAGAGCTTTTCGAAGATTTAAACAATCTTTTTATTAAAACAGAACTTTGAGCATAAACGCACTTCTTCCGCTGACATAGTCAACCACCACTTGTTGCAACAGACAAATTCAAATTAAAACCATAGACTATAGTCAAAGACTACATAATTAAATTTAAATCCAAGCTGGCTCAAAAAACTATAACCGGGTAATGTAATGTAATATACGAGTGTGCGGCAATCCTCCTGGTCGATAACAATCGGCCTCAAGGCCAACGCGCTCAGATATCACTTATTATTGTGCTAAAAAATTAGTACACTAAAATTCATTGAAAATTTTTGTAGCCAAAAAACGCATGTGTGCAATGTTATCATCATGCGATGATTTGTCGGTGCTTTATTGTTCACCACGATATTATTTTTTGTACGACGATGTTTTAAAACTACGAATTTTTTACCGCTATATTTTAGAGTTGCGATATTTTCTGCTTGCTTTCTTATTTTCCACTGTGTTTGTACGACTGCGTTTTCATCTTGCACTGTTTTCTACGCGATGTTCGTTCTACGCGATCGTTCGCGATATTTTTACCTCAGTATTTCACCTCAAACCTTCTGTTTCACGTTGAGTTACTCAATTACACTACAGTTGCTTCTGATATATACTTTTATTTAGTATCATATATAGTCATTCATATAGTCATTCCTCTTTTGTGGAGAGAAAGATAAGTATTAAAATAAGCGCTAACAAGAAACATAATAAAGAATAGTAATTGATTACAAAAATTAATAGAAATTTTATGAAGCTTATGAATATTAGTATGATATCCACTAGAAAATGTCTGATTATGTTATTTCAGGTTCCAAAACTCATGCAGGCGTTGATTTGAGACATATATGGTTGCATTTCTTTGTCACTGCATTTATAAATATATGCTCTTCTAAATTAACTGAAACAAAAATGTCTCCTGCTATTATTAAGAGAGTCCTTTACATGATCGAGACGCGATCATGTAAGCATGGCCAACGATAAAGTTCATTTACAACACTATTTTTACACTATACTATATTACTCTATTTTTACAAATTCCAACAAGGAAGAAATGCTACAAAAGCGTGCGAAATTTAGTAACAGTTTTTAGAGTTTTGGACAGAAAGTGCAGGAAATGGTTCGAAAAATTTGAAGTAGGTGATTTTCGACCATAATGATAAGCCGACGACTGGACGGCTATTTTTGATAGAAGACGATACTGTTAATGATGATGTAATACCCTTTTTTGACATTTCGGAGATTGCAAAAGTACTGAATTCAGCTCCACAAACCATTTTGGAGTGTATTCAGGAGCTAAGTTGGATTTATAAATATTCCAGATGGGTGCCTGATGAGATAATTCAGAAAAACGTGCATGATCGAGTCATTATATGCACATCTTTGTTTGATCGGAACAAAAACGAACCCTTTTCGGACCGGATGATAATTAGAGATGAAAAGTGGATAACCTACGGAAACCTCGCTAGGGAAAAAGCATACTATGAGCCTGGACAACCTGGCCATCCACATCTAAATCGAATTCGAGCCTGAATAAGAGAAAGCTGTGTATATGATGGAACGTGCAAGGACGAATACATTTCCAGCTTTGAAATCATAAAGAAAACCTCAATTTGGAAAGATACTGAGAGCAAATGTACAATTTTAACTAAGCAGTCAAAAAAAAAAAAAAAAAAAAAAAAAAAAAAAAAAAGGCCGGTGATGTTCAATAGAAACATGCTATACTTTTTCATGATAATCCCAGACCACATGCTGCTTTGGTGACACGTCAGAAAATCGCACAGTCAGGTTGGAAAATTCTTCAGCATCCACCTTACTCTCCATACCTAGCTCCCTCCAGTCATCACTTAGTTCTTTCCTTGCAAAATTGTTTGTTGAAGCAAATATCACCCAAACATTACTTGGTTTCTTCGTATCTAAGGACAAGACATTTTCCAAAAATAGTATTTACAAATTACTATCCCGTTGGCAAGAGGAAAGCGGTGGAAATTATACTGCACAATATTATTAAAGCTATGAAAAAATGTATTAATTTCTTTGATTTCTCATACGGACAGAATTTTCCGGTAAACGTTATATTTAATTTATTAGATGAATTAGTCCAGTTCGAAATTATATTGACATACATTGGTTATTACGTATTCTGTCCATTGTCCTAGAGACTTTAAAAGAAGATTGTGTCATTGTAATTAAAATTTTGTATCCACTTTTAATAAAAAATACGAATTAATTTTCTCTTTCTCTCTCTTTTTTTTCCAGTTATATCATCTAAATACCGGCGATATTCTCAAGGTCAAAACTTACCTGTCAATCAACAACTTAATAAGTGATTGCAAACCAGAAGCTAATGCCTGGACTACAAAAATTTTAAATTATGATAAAATTTATTGTTAAACCGGGAACGAAATAAATGCCTGTACTTTTGAATGGAATAAAAAAATTTAGAGTTAAATGAAATATTTTAATATCTTTGCCAAAGATTTGTCGTTCTACTTTCTTATCTCACATCAGTAACTACGAGTATATAGCAGAAATAAAAATTTTGTGTTCTTGTTCGAATTTAAATAACGTCAAAACATTTTTACATTTTTTAAAAAGAATTTATTGTTTTTCATATTAAATGCAATGTTATGCAGCTGTTTTCCTAATGCAATGAGGCCCACCAGCGGCCGAGCGGTAAAGTCGCTGAACACTGGTAGTTCGGTCCGAGGTTCGAATCCCGCGAACGGGCTGGCTGCATGGGCGTTTTCGTGGTTTTCCCCATGTGTAACGTGTATACGAGCCAGTTTCCCTTAGAAAGTCCTCCACGAAAAGGCATTCCTCCCCTTAGGCAGATAGCCCTCGTGTGCTTTGCCATAATTAAATACACCACACCACACCACACCTAATGCAATGAAGCCGAGTTTATTAAGTATAGCAGAAACTAGTGTTAAAACAACTTTTTTTTTTTATCTCCAACGCGCGAATCTCTGTATCGGAAATTCTAAAGATATGCTCATTTTAAAAATTATTTTGCGATATTGTTCTTGAATTGAATTTTATGGTTTAAGGGCGAAGAACGGGGTATTTAATAAATAAAGGTAACACACAAAATGTTAAAATATCGCCCTTTTGGATGTAATTTAAAATCTGAAACATTTCAGAATTTCTTTTCTTTTTTTTTTTTTTTTTCTTCCAAACTTTCGTTTCCAAGGTAAATGTTAATTTGTTCGAGGAATCTAGCCAGTTTTGAACTTGTTAATTGATTAAAAATGCTTTTTAATGTTGGTATTAATTTTTAATGTAGAAAAAGCATTTGAAATGGGAAACAACAATATATCAGCTCCTAAAAAAATAAATACGTAAAATACATTAAAAAAAATAAAAAATAAAATAAACAATAAAAAAAAATTACTTTATTATTTAATCTGAAGGCTTTTGAGTAATAAACTAAGAGATTTAAAAACAATAAACACACTTCTTAAGAATATTTTTCTACTTTTAATGTGATTGGTTTAAATAACCATCCATTAAAATTATGAAATATCTGGTAAGCAATATTCAATATTTTTATGCAATGATAGAAACTGGGATCACTTAAAATCGTTATATGCTTTATCTTTTTATGATAACTATTTTAGGTGGTTGGCTGCACGAGAAGCTAGTTTTTAAGGAAATAATATTGCGAATATAAAAGTATGTATGGCATTCTCTAATATTCTATCGGGGATTCTAAAGATATGCTATTTTTAAATATTTTGTGATTTGCTGTTGAATTCAATTTTATATGGGGTAAAGTTGAGGAACGTGATATTTAATAAATAAAGTTAACACATAAAAAGTTAATAACAGAAGCACACAAAAAATTTTTGGTTAGCTATTTTACTAAGAAAACTGAATACCGATATGATGAACTGAAAGACTGAAAAAAAAAAAAAAAAAAAAATGCATGCTAACACTAAACACTACATAGGAAGTTCTAATCACAGTATGCTATTCCGCAGCTTAAAAAAAATATGCCTTTCTTGGGAGGGGGGAACTGTACGTGGCATATTTGCGAAGAAAGTTGTGCTTAATACTAAAAAAACAAAAAAAAAGGGGGCGGTTAGCAGGAGTAAGTGCAAGAGCAGACTGGTCGAGTGAAAGCTCAGAGAAAACGTAAAAAATCACAGGAAACCCTTTTGGGCAACCGTTAAAAAAAGGAAACCTTTCAGATTTTCTTTTATTTTTTCCTTTTTTAATTTCTTCGTTCTTTGTTTTTTCAATAAATAGGATTGTAATATTTAACAAAAATAAGTGGCAACAGTAAGACAGAGTTCTAAAGATTTTTAAAGTGTATGGAATTAAAGAAATGTAGTTTTATAGAGTTGGATGAAGCGGATGTAATCTCCCATAATGTAGCCAAAATTCTCCCCATATTTCTATGTTTAAAATATAACCTTTTAAAACGTCCTTTGCTTCACAAACGGAAAATGCGAAAAGAAACTACAACACAAAAATCAGTTTTATAAATCAGTCATTTTCAAATTCATTACGTAACTCTACACTTTTTTTATTATTGGATTAATACATAAGTAACTGATTTTATAACCAGAAAGATCAAGTTACTTAGTATCTTATGACATGCATTATTTATTTCAGAATAATAATTTGTATTTGTGACAAATAGAACTATAATACAGATAATTTTCGTCTAAAAGCATGAATAGGCTATTTCCTCTCAGGCCAGAATGTGCCAAACAATTTTCTGTAGAAAAATGCATGCGCTAGCTTGATATTTCTAGATAGAAAACATATTTCCGTCATTAGAGTAGTTCAGTTGTGGTAAAAAATTTCTCAAAGCATACACCAAAAGGAACGAAATAGAATTAACATTGCTTCCTAGATATATCTAGGAGGCAATGGAATGACACGCTTGAAAAGTTTATTATTGACAATACTTTGAAAACAAGACTTTTTATGTAGACAGGTAGAAGAATGAAAGGCAAATGATATGCACAAGTAGTAAATAGCTATCGTCTCTCCATATTATTTATCTTAGACGAAACACTAACAGATGGGGTGCATTCTGTTGTAGTATATACTATTGTATTGTTACTATCCCCTATGCTTGTACAATATCCAATCTAATTCTGGAAATGAGATATTGCGCTTTGGAAACTGAAGTCTGATAATGAGTGATGAGTGCTCTTCTGTGCCTTTTTATCTTGTGCAAATTTTCCCCTTCACAGCAACATCTGCAATTATTAATACACTTATTTTTCATTTTAGGAAGTTGCTATTAGGATACTTAACATAATAAAATAGGCTCTAAGGAATGCGTCATAATTTTAAAGAGGGAAGAGCTTTCGAATGATGTCTATGGATGGCAAAGTTCAGTACCCATAGAACTGGAGAAGAGTCATTATTTGAATTATTTTGCACTTCATCTACTTGGTTTTTACTCGGTACTTTACTTACTCTTGAAAGGTAATAAGACTGTCGTTGGGAACCTGTTGTGATGTGCAACCACTAACGGACATTTGAAAATATAACGATCAGGATCCCGTCTTTCTCCACATATACAACCAGACTTTTAATGCAAGCGATAACTGCAGTACATTTAATTTAGCGGTGGCCAACAGGCAGCGATGGGACTTGAAGGAAATTCCACAGTTATCTTCAAGTAGGAACAACTATAGAAAATTGTTTCCTGCGTGTTGTTCTGCAACTAAACAATTCTATTTAATATAGTAATCCGAAGCTGTCAAGCAAACATTCAATAACCGGCCGAGAAATTTAGAAAACTGTTATTACTTTTTTTTAACACGTTCGTTGCTCAGTGCGATTCGGTTGAGTTTCTCTCGAGGCCTAAATCCGACTATCGGTTGCTTGAAGAGGACGACTCATATTTAGGTAATGTATACCAACGAAATTGTATAAAACTGAGCTCCCACGAAGGATACACATGGTATGCGAAAATATATTCTGGACGGGATACCAGCGGAAGAACGCAAGTTGGCATACCCGAAAATCTCTGCATTGAACTTGAAGATAAATTACTAAATGAAGGACGAACTTACTTTGTCGACAACTTTTACATGAGCTATGAATTAGCAGTCAAATTTGTAAATTTTAAGAAACTGTATGGCACAACAAAAACTTTATGCCAAGTTTTGTAATATCGTACCCACTGAAGAGACTTGAAATGATAGCACGAGAAGATTACACATCTATTGTGGGGCTAAAATGATGAGATGTTCGCGATGTTAGAATATTATCAACCAAACATGCACCCGTTATGACTTTAAGCTCGGATTCTACTCATCGCGATCGTCCTCCGAAACAGAAACTTTTGGCGATAATGGTATGTAATAGTGGACATCTGACAAGAACGTCTAGATGTTGTATGCCACAACAATACAGAAAGTATCGAAAATTAGCACTGCAATTTACTCTTAGGAACAACTATAGTAAATGCTCATACCAAGCACCATACAGTCTAAAATAAAAAAGGAGAGATAGGAAAACTTCGGGAACTTCGGGAACTCGTACCGAATGATTTTCCTTGTAAAATATTATGCCCGACAGTAATAGAAACAAAACGAAGCAAGTGTCTCATCGTTTAGAGATTCGTAAGATTTAGCAGGTCAAGCTTCTGAAAAGGAAGTTCGCCATACATTACCAGAAAAAGAGGCAAACTGTTGAACGCCAAGAAGCGAGGAAAAATGTAAAAGAAACTACGACCTATTGTTCTAACCATCGACAATCGTCTCAGACGTGTTTAGACTGCTATAACGAATACCATACGGCATAGCATAACGTAATTTTTTATCTTAAATATAAATTAATAATAGTACGAGTATAATAAAAAGTATAGTGTAATATAACATAAAAATAGTTTACTTTTATGTTGTATTTCAGTGCTTATTTTGTTAAATTCCTTTTAAAAATTCAACTAAAAATCCTATTTAACTTGAACAAGAAGAGCGTCACCCATATTTGGGTGACGGGACCCCACGGAAGCATATCCGGCACCCAGATATGGGTGATGCGGACAGTTAAAAAAAGTTTCCTTTACCCAATAAAGCAGAGGTTAAATTAGATTTCTTTATCCGTAAGCTTTCAATGGAAAATGTCAATATTATAAATGAATCATTAAGAATTAAAAACAACGGTTTTAGCCAATGAAATCGAGCTTTTATTTATTGTATCAAAGAGGGGTAGGAATTTTGCAAGAGTTGGGCATAATTATTTCGGTTAAAATAAAGGTACAATGGGGGAAAACGTATAGATAATTGGTAAACGAAATTCAGACAATAACTCGTAAATTTGCCCGAATTCTTTGAGCGTGACTAAGATTAACAAAATCACATAAACGATTCACGAAAGTGCTTGATACGCAAACTGGCGTAAGTAAAAAATTCTATGCATACTAGTTTATTAATAACTCTAAGCATTTGTAATTCGATGCCGAGTTTGAAAAAATTAGAAAGTTTTCTCAGAAACAATAAATAACTTTTTTTCTCCAAAATAACAGTATTATTCTTACTGCACTGAATATATAAAATTATTAGGGTTTACAACACCAAATACAGAAAATAAAGCCAAAAACCTATAAAAAAGAAAATTTGAAGTGCTTCAGATTTTAAATTTCGTCCAAAGGGGCGATTTTTAAAACATTTTGTGTGTTACCTATATTTATTAAATATCATGTTCTTCGCACTTAAAGCATAAAATTCAGTTCAAAAGCAATATCGCAAAATAATTTTAAATTGAGCATATCTTTAGAATTTCCCATACACTGTCTCACGCGCTGAAAAAAAAAAAAAAAATTCTGTACAAAGTTGCCATTGCTCGCTTTAAAATCCTTGAGTTTGTTAATCAAAAATTCATTAAAGTTTTACAAAATATGAAATCGATAATAAAACAAATTTCCAATTTGGGCTTTCAGATGCCCATATTCGCAGCAAGATTACGTTATTCAAAACTGGATGGCTCTAGGTACCGTTGTTTTATCACAATGCGAGAATTATACATACATCTATGCAGATTCTTCATTATTTAATTTCTTCAAATATTTGATAATATTTCGATAATATTTGATGGCAACAGTTTGAAAAGTGAAACGGACATTTAGTGTGATTCGACGCAAAATCGCAAAACGAAAACAATAGTTCCTCAAGGGGCAAAGCCCCTTTGGACTAAAAATAAGAAATTAGTTTCATTAATATATAGTGTTTCAGAAAACTTTTAAAATGAATTGTTATTACCAGAAAGGGAGATATAAAGTGTGTATATTGCGTTGTAAACCTAAATATTTCAGAACATCACAGCCATTTTGTTTTTACTTCTTTTCGTATTTACGTGCATTAAATATGTAAACACGTATGTTATCTTTATTTTTATTATTAAATAAGGTAGAATCTGTACGTAGGTATGTATGTGTGTACGTACGTTTGTACACTTTCCTCGCATTGTGAAAACTTGAGCCAACGAGTCCTGAATACACTTTGTTCTTCACTTGCATATGTACACCTCGAATAACAGAATGTGAATTTTGAATTTCTTTCTTTATTTCTTTTATGCTTTGTACTCAATTACAGATAAGTTTTGATGAACAAACTCAGCGATTTTGAAGCATTGCGTTGTCACTCGGCAAAGCCTAAGATATTTATATTTCAAATTTAATTAAAAAAACTTATAAGGCATTTCTCCCGCCTTCTTGGCATGCCTTTGTGGTGTGGTGGTCTGCACGCTGGGTGCGTATTCCAGAAGTCCGTGGTTCGATTCCCGGGGAAGGGGCTGCTCATTCCTCATCTCTCCTGATTCTAAAAAATATCTAATGCCTCTACTAACTCAGCGATATAAAAAAGTGTGTTACCACTCTGCAATATATTTGGCTTTCGAATTTAATGAACAAACTCAACGATTTGAAAGAAATATTTTTATCTTCCACTCACCAGTGTGTTACCTTTCGGTAAAACTTAACACATTGATTTTTTTTTAATCTAATCAGTCTGTTATTGATTAACAAACTAAGCGATATAAAAATCATAAAAGCAGATCCTGATTTCTATATTTATTTTTTGCTTAGTGGACCCATGAAATTACTCTTAATGGACTCAGCATTATATACAGTATTTTCTTTTTTTTATCATAACTATTTTGGGCGGCTGGCAAAGCAAGCTACTAAATATGTATTAAATGTAATGCGGATGCAAAAAAAAGTGTTGCTCAGAAATATAGTAAAAATAATAAACCTCAGAATTATGTCAGTTAACAGAAGAATTTCTATCGGCGAGCAATTGTTTAATTGCATACCTAGATTACAGAACGAATATAAACAATGCACGAATATAAGCATCTAGATTACAGAACGAATCTGTACTAATATATACGTATACTACATAGGCACTAATACAAGTGTATAGTTTTTACTATATTCCGGAGAGACTGCCTATTTTCCTCCCCTTCCGAGGACGCGAATGCTTCTAATTCTTGATTTCCGTATTGTTGCCTTATAAAGGCAGAAAAAAACACATATTTGAAGGAATTCCATGTCAACTAAGTCAGCCGCCTAACCGGGAGTCAGCCTACTGGTAAGTGACACTGACTCCCGCAACGATAGGCCCGGGTTCGAATCCCAGAGAACGCATGGATGTTGGATAGGGCATTCAACATGCACGAAGAGCCAAAAGTTCTCTCGAGATTCTTGCGGTAGGAAAAGAAGGACTGGAGACTCTCGGACTGCCCATTCAGGTATTCGTCTCAAAACTGTGCGGACCTGCAACAGTCAGTAACATGGGGCATGTACGAATAATTGTGAATTTCTGGTGTCCTGCTCACTTCAGTGTGCAGTTGTTAAGAATGCTAGTTTGCTATGAATTTTACTGGACTGTAACAAATAGTCGCTGACTGCCGTAACACGTTATTTTCCAGAAGTGTTACAACTGATATCACTTCCCAGTGACAGTTTCACGAAAGAATTTAGATTAGAATTAATTATTTTTTAATTTAATGTTATTGCATATTTATTTTTAATATCATACATCTAATAAAATAAACAAAAGAATTATGATATTGGGAAGGGTATATAGGTGATTTTTACAACATTTGCCTGACGAAAAATGGATATTTATAGGCAGTGTTCATTTCCATGCCACTTTAAGATCGTAAAAATGTTAAATTCTATTGACTTACACCAATAAAGCTCTGATGTGCTATTGTGACGCAACCCAACTGGAACTTCTTCGACTTGGGAGACACTCGTGTTTGGGACGGAGGTCTGAGTTGGCAGATAACGCTAAAATTAGAATAGCGAAGAACTTCATAAAAAAATTGTAAAGATCAAGCTGGAGAAAGTTGCGAACCGCAAGCGAACAGAACCGCAGCAACATCTGTGCGTCACTGCTCTCTCTTCGACAAGGCGATGTACATCCATTGTGTTATTTCGAATTTATCGCATGATGTCAACAGTACAGTGAAACACTGCCAGTTTGTGACCAGGTATGTGTAAAAATCCGTTTTATATGATTTTAAACGGTTGCTGCGTCAGGAAAAAGTTTTACGCTACTTTCAGAATGGAGTTTGAGTTAATCTATACGGAAGTTTTCAAAATATAACTTACAAACAAAAAATGATTCTTCCTGTGAAAACTGCATCTGTATATGTTTATACGACTTTTATGATGTTTTTTAGCCGATTCTTCGCAAATAAGTGAATGATAGTGAATACAATGTCCCTGGTATTGTTTTGTTATTCCATTCCAGATGTGCAATATCGTACAAAATGATAACAATAAAACTGCGAAAAGCTACTTTAAGAAGGTTTAGCGTAAGTAAACTTATATTTTGAAAGAACGGATTGTTTTTAAGAAATTTCTTGTATGACAACCGTTTTAATTTTATTTGCAGAAACTGCATGTTGTGCTGTTTATTTAGTCTTGTTAAAATTGCTTACATGCTTTACTTGTATAGCGAATAACAAAATTCATTTAATTTTATGTTCCTCTGATCTTAACATTTATACCAAATACAGATATATTGGGTGCATATAATGCCTTCTATTAGATGCGAAGTCAGGAACATTTCTCCACACTCTGTTATCCGGAATTTATACGGGTAAATTTTTGTTTAACCATATTGCCGTAATGATTTAACCTTGACTAACTAATCTGACGGTGAAATTATTACGTGCGTCCTTCACAAATATATTAAACGATGCCATGTAGTATATTCACTAGCTAAGCTAATGCAACGTAATATTATCCGATGACTATAAACTATATGCCTTCTAAACCACTTATGTATAAAATTTTGTTAGTTATTTTTTAACATCTGAAAGAGCTGTAAGATTATCTATCCATCGCAGAGCCGCCCAAACAGTATAGTGTTTAGGGGAGTTTACCGAATCACGTGGGTTCGAATCCCGGAGAAGGCATGGTTGTAACTGTCCGCCCCTTCATAGGAGGCAATAGTGGCCCACCTATTAGGTTCCTCCATAATAAAGAGACCACCACATCTGGCCTTAGTATAGATTAATGGACTCTGTAACAAAACTGTACGCAAAACAAAATTGACTGTTCACTGGGGGAAAAAATTATCCATTGCAAACGTTAGTGCCAATCGATGAAGCATAAGCTCTTTTATTTATCTTCTATATTATAAAAGTGCATTGTTCATCAGCGAAGCAAAATGAATAATGTACAAAATTGTTTTATTTGCATTTCTTAACAATATTTTATAAGAAGTGATGCTTTATACCACGAGTAATATAAATAAAATACATGTTTAACACCGCTGAATAAGGCCTATTGCAAAATTTCTATTTCTGATTTTTAGTATACTATCATCTGCATTTTAAATGAAATATACTAAAGTCTTACTTCACGAAGTTAATTTGTTCTTGAAGATAGTTCGTCATCAGAAGTATTTGTAAATCGAAACAATTTTTCCCATAAGAATTAATGTACAATGAATTAATTCGTTGGCGGATCCCAAATGATTGCCAAAAAAAAAAAGACTACATTGTATACAAGTTTATAAATGCAAAACAAATGGAACTGGTTAAATCTAACGCATTGCACAATAATAACATATACACGATACTTAATACAATTCTAAACGAATAAAAAATTTAAAAACTTAAATTTTACCGTATCTATACGAAGGAAACTTGACGGCGTGAATAAAAAACGGGAAGAAACCAAAGGTGCAAAATTTGAAAGGAAAATCGTATTCCGTAAACATATCAAATAGGTACTGTATTTCTGGGGTCCGTTTTCTTCTAGGTTTTTGTTAACATCGCCAGCCTCTGCTTAAGAGTCGCTGGGCCTTTGTCTCCTGTAATTTGTTTGTTCTGTTTTGTTTGTCCACTGTCGTTCTTAAAATGTTCCTAAATCAAGACATGGCATTGCCATCGCAAATATTCATGCCATGGCTTTCTACTGTTCTGTCGAGGTGATAATGTTCTAAAAACTTTTGCACCTCACTCCATTTTACACAAATTTTGCGGATCAAGTAACCAGGAACATCTTCTCTTTCCTTTTCTTTTTCTTAAGACATTTCCTTCACTGCATTAACTGCCTTTTGTAGTATCATTTACTTCCAGCTTACTTATTCGTATCCCGAGATATCATTCATCATCCAAGACATTTTTTGTTTGGAAAATGTATTCGTGATCCAAGGTGATCGGGAACCAAGTTTCTACTGTATAAGGATTATGAGGAAATTTTGTAATAACGTATGAATAACAAACCTTTCTGCAATTTTATTTTAATTTTGTTCCTGTGGTGACACACTTTCTCAACACAAAGACTCTTTCTAAGACGACCATCCATGTATCCATATCATTTTCGTCTTCAGTAAAAGTGGTCTTCTTATGGAGGTGATATTTAATACGAATGTTTATTTATGTTCTTAGAAATTCTGATCCCTTAAAGAAATTATCATCTAAGAGAGGTGGTCGCCGCTAGAGGATTCTTTGTATTTATCATCCTTTTCTGTTTGTACCCTTTTACGTTCAAAAAAGAAATGCAGAAATAAATGCTAGAACTTTTAAAACTGAAATGCTGTTGGAAATGAATTTTAATTTTATTCAACAGTAAAGATTTAATTTTATGAACTAAGTCTTTACTAACCAATCCAATCACAATAAGCTAGAAATCGGAATTTACTTAACTCGTATAACATTTTCTCTTTATTATTCTGCCTGAAGGTGAAAATCAAGATGGGAGTCGGTAGAAGCAAGCAGAAGACGAGAGATGATCTTAAGTCTCAGATACAGGAATTCAATTCCCGTCTACAGACGGCACTGATTGGTTGCAACCAAGCGAAAACCACATTCGTGACTTTGTCTGATATGTGGTGCAACAGTCGTCAAGAAGTTCTCCTCACTTTACAATCAGTGGCGGAAGAGATCGACAGGCACCACTACAACGTAAACATTGCCAGTCTCACTGGAACTACCTCCAGCATAGCAGGAGGAACTGCAGCCATTGGTGGCCTGATTCTGTCACCTTTCAGTGGTAAGTGAAATTCTATTGATTGTATTTTTACTTTTACTTACTTAAGATGTTCATGTAATCCTTTTTTGCTATTTATGCACAATTATTGTCCCTATTCTGAGTGTTTATAATGAATCGATTAAGTTAAAGTACAGTATATATTAACTTCATAGAACAATGGAACAATCCTGTTGAATGCTCAAAATTTCTGTCGACAAGTTTGGGGCAGAGGAATACTAGTCGTTTGGATCCTTTTGCCCTTTGTTATAATTAAGATGGAACTAGGTAAACTTGCAGTGTCACCTGTAAGTTTTCCAAAGCTTAAGCCAACATTAGACGACATAATTTCCGTCTTGGCTACGGTAAAATCCGTGGTCAAGAGGCAAGTCTTCTTGAGGCTCAGATCAGGGGAATTAGGAACAACAACTGCATCCATTAGAAGGATGTATTTAACCGCTAGAATATATTAGAAGACGCTAGAAGATGTCCTAGCCGCTAGAAGGATGTATTCCTTCTAGCGACTGATGCTGCTTAAATGTTGAAAGAAAATATAGCCTTCCGCTAAAATGTTTTCTTAGATAGCATTTCAATAATTTCTTGCCTTCCTCCGATTGTCATTTTTACAACTTTCCAGGCTCTGTGCTTTCATATTCTTCAAAGGTCCTTCATCGTTTCAGACATTATTGATTTTCGCAGGCTTTTTACTTTCCTTCCAGAAGGTAAATATGTTTTCTGAAAGCATTTGCTTAGCCAGTGATGACCATAATAGATATTTTGGTCAGATCTAATTAAAATTAGTCTTTTTATTCACTTACCAGTTTCTTATTATCTAAGTTATATTGCTCTATTAAAATAAAAGCCCAAAGTAAGCTTGTATTATAATGATCACCTTCATAAACATCAAGTTGGAGAGAATTGTTAAGCACAGCTTAACATTAGCGTGAAACTTCATGTCAGTGTAGGTAAAAAACTTTTGATTTGGCGTCCACGTACTTCATTAGATGAACATTAACGTTCTCTCGGCGAAGATAAGAGCAATAAAAATTTTGTTTTAGCTAGTAATTAATTACTAATGTAAGGAATTAAGGGATAAGTAATGCACATCATTTGTTCTTCCTTTAGGAAATAAGATCAAAAATAGCATTTTTAAACAGTTTTATAAACAGCGAAAAAACCTAATCTCAAACTCAAAGCAATATGTGTTTTCACATCTGCAGAATTAATCTCAAACTATCCCCGTCACTAGCGAATGACAACAAGTGCATTTGTATATCTAAACGTATGTGTACGAAGTATCTGTGTTCATGCAGAGACGCCCCTGGACATGAAAGATTTTAGACCATTTTCCGCTGCATTCGTGGACATTAAGCGGCCTACAGAGCGAACTCTAATACTTCTTATAGAAGAATCTATAAACAAAAATTAAGGTCCCTTAAATTGAGTTCCGGATTAAGAATTAGTGGCCTTAAGCCTTTAAAAGATTTCTGGCTCCCCAACATACGTTTCGATGTTCCCCTGCCTTCTTTCTTGGTCTTAGTTGAGCTACAATGCACATCCCATGACAAAACCGGGAAATTTTTGTGATGCCTCCTTTCTTTGAGCTACTAAGCATTGTTTTCTGGTAGCCCCTTTTCTTGATGTCCTAAACAAGTGTTTACTTTGAGAAATCGAGCTGTGCTTTGAAAAAAAGACTATATTTAATTCTATATTAGCATAGAAGACTGCATTTTATTAATTAAAAGATTTGATTTAGGCAAAAATAAAATTATCTGCAACATTTACCTTACAGGTTTTACAAGTGAAATATCCAAATCCACTTTATGATCAAAGCCGCTGGAGAAGACAAGTATTACATTTTCCATCTATTACTATAAAAATGAACTTTTTAATAGTACCTCAGATTTTTGGAGGCCTCAATATCAACCTGTAGTTCCTCATAATTTTATTTTTCTCTCATAAAATCAAGGCAACAAACACTGAAGCCTGCCTGAAAGAATTGTATGCCTAAGACTAGCTTAACGGAGCTTGGAAGTTAGTAACTCTTTAAAAATACCATTTTATGGTTTCTAAAACTAATTTAAAATTCCTTATTCCTTTATTTTCATTCGTTAAATTCATTAAAACTCATTTCCCTGTTTACGCTTTCTGCAATGTGATTTCATTGATCCTCAGCGATAGGCAATTGCCATGAGATTAAAATCCTAAGACACTGGTGATATCCCTCTAGTTATGATTACAGAGATGGATGGAGTTGGTTTCTAATTTCACAGCTCAGTCCATCTTTCGCAAATGTAGAGCGTCGATGTTCTGACGGAGCCAACAAAGGGGAAAAAGTTGATTCACTGCTGTTTTTCTTCTATTCTAATGATTGACTTTATTCTTTTGTTTTTCGATAGGAGGTTTATCTTTAGCTCTGTCTGCTGGCGGTTTATTCGGAACAGTAGCTGGATCGGCCACAACATTGGGTGCTAATATCGCTGAAGCGTACCTTACAAAAGAACTTACAGATCGAGCTTCCAAAGTATTGGAGACAGACGCCTTCTACACAAAAGCTTTAAGCGAAGCATTTAGAGAGATCGTTCTTCACGAACAAGAGGTGATTGCCATCCTTGCCGAACTGAAGAATGAGACCCTGCTAGAAGACTTGGAGAAAGTACTGAGGAATTCTCCATGCTGCGACGAGATCAAAAAGCGCTTCTCACATTTGAAAGACGGGGCCAACTCGCTAGAGGACATTTTAGTGCTTGTGAAATGTCTATACCCAGAGGATCACCTATTCTTGCAACAACTGAATAAGACAGACAATTTGTTTGGAAACGCCCCGACGCTAACGTCAACATTGATATCTTCATCAGATTTCTTCCAGGTAGGTAATAAACTTTATGCAGGCCTTGATTATTGGCTTGATACAAAGAGCTTGGCTTATGATTTTAGGGCATAATTACAAGACGGTTTTGTCTTGTAATTATGCCCTAAAATCACCTTTAATTAATATGTTAAATGTAGACTATAATAGCAAATAAGCGAGGAGGTTTAACGCAGTAATTTACATAAAAAAGCAAGCATATTTCTCTGAAATATGCCTGATAAAAAGCATATTTCTCTGATTGCAGTTTCATTAAATTTATTCTATCTTTCAAGGTGCTTGCACAATTTTGTAAAATATTACAAGAGGGTGTTTACACAATTTTAGAAAAATTTCGGGGCTATTTAATTAAAATGTAAAGAGTTTATTTTAAAAGTTGAGTTTGATAACCTTTTTTTGAACTATAAATCTGCAACGTCATTTTCCTCATAGAAGAGCTTTTCAAAAATTTTACAGAGGTATTGATTTCCATTCATCTTCCACTACTTTCCAAGTCCATTGGTTGTAGTGGCTTTGTGCTTAGAAAGAGTTCAGAGTGTCCATAGGTGAAACATCAGGTCACTTCTTGGGAATACGTTGGAAAGGTATATATGCAATATCTGTATCATTTTTCGCTCTTTCAAGGAATGCAGCGGTACTCTGAAGTATGACTCGTCGCTTTGTCTGAATGAAGTTTCACTCTTTGAAAGTCACTGGGATAAAAAAAAGAATTTTTTCTGTAAAATTCTGACATAAAACTTTCTATTGATAGTACGTTTAGTTGATTTTAATATTTTCTACCAATTTTATTATTTTTAATTTTTATTATAAAAGAATACTGCGACTTGCATAAAATCCTTACTGAAACTTTCTTTGCATTGGTGGAATTAGGTTTGTCGACACTTTTCTCTTCGTTTTTGATAATAAATAGACTTTTTTCCAGTCACTTAAATATTCCTACGTTTCATCTGGGGTCACAATGTCAGTTTGTCTGCTGCTGAAAAGTTTTCATACAGAGTTACACAAATTGTTCTGTGTTGAGCCACATGCGCAGCAAAAGCTAGTGAACTTTATGTTTTTTTAGCTTTTCTAAGCTGTAAATCTTAGTTTATTATTTGTTGATAAGTTGTTAGAAAAATTAATTTTTTCATTAGCATTCGGCTGATAATGACAAAAGAGGTTTATGTAGCATTTGTCATACATGTGTAGAGTTCCTCACTTCGGAATTCCAAGTTAATGTTGGAAGTGAAGAATCTAAGAACTGATAAGCGAATAATCGCTTGAGTTCGGAGACAAGAAACAACAAGATAGAAGGGTAACTAACCCTTTATTATTCCAATAAGATTTAACAAAACTCCGCCTGGGAGTGTACAAACAAAGCCCGCACTTGGGCTTGAACTAAAAAGACTAAGAATTAAACTAAAACTAACTAAAGAAGCATAGCCGAAGCTATCAAGGTTCAAATCGAGTTGGCCCCTTAACTTATTTGACTACGAAGCTTAGCAAGGGCCTGAGTACGGCCGAGCGTAATAACAGCTTTGAGAGAGAGAGTGGCCAAAAAGGCAGACGTGCGTAAATCAGAAACTCTGATTCTCTCTGACTCATAACTTCGTGGTTTAAATACCGCTCCTCCTCATTAAATATTCAGCAAGATTCCAAAACTACGTTCTGGCCGGAAGTAGTAAGTTGAAGTTAAGAATTTGACAGGAAAGGAACTTAAAATTTAACTGTTAATAAAATTAACATAATCTTTACATAGCTTCCGACCAGATTTTAAATACTAGAAAAATAAGGTCTCAAAACGACCTTATTTAAGACTTTAAAGTCTGAAAAACTTACGTTAACTACACTATTCAAACTTTTAAATTAACTAAATGACTTTAAAGTTTCGTTTTTAGGGCCAACTTTACAACAATTCTAAAAGCTAGACTAAAGCTAGGAAAAATAAAATTTTACAATTCATCCGTTCTGGACATATATCTTGACATACATCTTCATGAATGGACACTTTATTCTGCTATAACTATGTCAGGTTTTGATCCTTCCATATCTGGAAGGAAATGTCATTAGTAAGGAATTTTACAAAGCTTTTCTTTAAATCCTAAATTTACGCTTTTATTTCCTCATTTGGCCCTCATGCACTTTCATTCATTCTACAGTTTTATTTCACCCATGCTCTCCAGCAAATGTACTGAAATGTACTTAGGATCTTCTTTGTTGTGTTGCCGCGAAAAAAAAAACTACCGCTACACAACACCTAACTTTGTTAAATTTGACACACCAGATCTTATAAGACTCCCTACACGAAAAATCTTTCCTAATGTAGTAAGCGAAAGCTTATATTTTACTTTTAAACGTGTTAACTGGAGAGCCTAACATTAAACACACATATAATATATATTAACATTCAATTCTTCCACAATTCCAATACACACAGGCCAAAATTTATTTTCTGTGCCATTTTAACTTTACGATATTTCAACACAAAAGTAAACATTTCTACATGAACATGTAAATATTTACACATCACTTTTGAATTCACTTTACATCAACAGTCATAGTTGCTTAGTTACAATTTACCAATATTTACACGAAATCTTAACTTTACGTTAACAGATTTTAGTATTCTAAGAGTCTTCCGACTAAACTTATTCACAATTTACTTCTCGCAACTTGCGAGTTCTTAACAAAAAGTATTTAACGCTAGTAGCTTCTCGCCAAATTGCTAACATAAAAATCTATGATTACGAACATTTACAACCAATCTTTCGCTATCTGCGATTTAACTTTTCTAAACATCTTTAGCAACTTAGAACAAGATGATATAATTTGAACTTCAAAGAAAAATAAGCAAAGAAATTTTCACTTATCTTTTTCTGTATTCCTGCATTCTGATGTTACAGAATTGTTCGAACGTAGGGAACCTGATGACCTCCAATCTTCTTCTTGAGGTTTGATGTTCCGCTCCGTTTACTTCCTATCTTTTCCTTTTTTTCCCCTTGTCTAGGAATCTGGGACTCTTGCGGGCGGGTTGCGGATTCTGGAATGCCAATTTCCTTTTTTTGCTCTGGTGGGGATATCCGTCCTTCAGGGTCTTTGAATCTTCTCTTGGTCCTTCTAACTTGTTGGTCCGGCACGGTTGTGTCTACAAATCTTTTCTGGCTTTTCGGTCTCCATCCTGGTCCTCCTTGGGCCTCCTTTATAGTTGTTGCTGGTGGAAACTGTGGTTTACGTTTAGTTTCCATTCGTCATTGAATTTTCTATTTTACTGGAACCTTGTCAGCAGGCCTTCCTCTTCTGGTCGATGGTACTTGAGTTTTCCAGCATCCTTGGCTCTGACTCGTTGCTCTGTCGGTGCTAACTTCTTCCTTTTTTGTGCGCTTGTAGCATTACTGGAATGGATTTCCCTGGTCGAAGTTTGCTGGCTCTGCTTTCTTTTTTGTGTTGGGGGACTCCAGCTGTGCTCTTGAGCTGGCGGGCTTCTCTCCTCACTTCCAGGATCCTGTAATAAATCCTGCAATATTTTAAAGTCAGTGAGGCTGTAATAAGGTTTTAACTGATCGATATTTGCAACCAGTTGTTGGCCATTTTCGGCCTTTAAATAAAACGTGGCTTCTCTTATTCTTTCCACCATGTACGGCCCTTCAAACCTGGGCTCAAACTTCGCAACTTCTGTTTTCTGGTGCAGATGATAACGAATATTTCAACTTAAGAACTTTTTGTCCCACTTTATATTCCAATTCCCTTCTATTTCTATCATAATAGACTTTTTGTTTTTGTCTTGCTATATCAGAGCTTTTAATTGCTTCGTCGATAATTTTCTGAATGTCTTTTAACTTGAATTCTTCTTGTCTCTGTTGTACAAAGAACAGCTTATCCAAAGGCGTTATGATTTTTCTTCCTAAAAATAACTCCGCGGGGTCTTCTGCGTAGTATCGTGCTTTGCGGTTCTCAAGGCAAAACCTAACTCATTGACACAGCTGTACTGCAATCATGAAAATTTTTCACACATCCCCTGATAATTTTTACAATATTCTTATTTACGCGTTCCACTATATTCGACTGCGGTCTATATGGTGCCATTTTTAGATGGCGTATGCCCTGTGCACAAATTTTTAAATATACTGCTAACAAACTGTTTTCCGTTATCTGATATTACTTTTAGTGGTGCCCCGTATTTTAAAATATATTTATTTAAGAACGAATCTGCGACCATTTTAGCTGAAGCTCTTTTAAGAGGGACTATTTTTACCCATTTTGAAAAATGATCAACGATTGTTAAAAGATATCTGTCTTTTTATTTATTTTTGTCCTAGGATAGGGTCCGAGCAAATCTATGCCAACTATTTCATTTGGAAAAGTGGTCTTTATGTTTTTTTAAATACCCGGCCGGGCTGTAATTAACATCGTTTATTAATTGGCACATATGGCACGACTTAACATACGCCGTAACAACTTTCTGTAACTGCGGAAAATAAACCGCTTCGCGTACCCTCTTTAGTGTTTTTCGTATTCCGAAATGTCCAGCAGATGGTAGATCGTGCAACTCCTCTAAGATACTTAAACGTAGACTCGCTGGGATTACTGGTCGGTATTCCTGATTTTCATTTGTTACCTTTGTATAAAATAACAATTTGTCGATTATTTCGTAATGCTGTGCCCTATTGCGAATAGCCGTTAAATCTATATGTTCAAAGTTTTCAGGGTCTTCCAGGTATGCGTAAATATCTTTAAATTCCGGGTCCTTTTTCAATTCTTCGACTTAGAGAGAATTTTGTTTTCACGGGACTCAATAACTCTTGAGGTGAGCATAGCACACTTGATTGTGTTTCCCTCTTCATCAATTTTTATTCGTGAAAGGGCATCGGAGACTACGTTTTCCGTTCCTGGGGTGTGTTTTATGATTAAATTAAACTCTTGTAATTTTAAAGTCCACCGAATCAAGCGACCCACTGCCGCATGATCTGAGTAGACCGTTATCGGTGAACTTCCGAAGTAGACACGAAACTTCTGAACTGCTAATAACACAGCGAGCTTTTCTCGCTCAGTAGCGGAATAGTTCCTCTGAGTAACATTCAAGTTTTTGGATAAAAAGC